GATATAAGCATACCAGTATTTATGAAAAAACTTCTGCTCACTGCTTTTAAAGTACCTTCCTACTTCCTATTGTTTCTACTGAGACCGTAGGAAACCATACAAAGATACTCTGGCTCCACCGTGGAGATTCTAGAAACTTCCATTCTCTTCCAGGACTGGCTTCCTAGTGCCTAATAGAAGAGCATCACTATTCTTTACCAGTAGGTGTCACTGTGTCACTCTGCATCTGTAAGTACCAAACTCAGGAGCTGCCAAGAGGTGAAGCATAACTCTCACTCCCTAGCAGCACATGAAGAGTAACTTCCATCCAAAGAATAAAGTATGAAAAGGAAAGACAGAAATGTAACTGTACAGCGAAGAAACCTGACAAACACTGCTTCAAGCAAGGTGATGACGATTAACATCAACAGTGATCATTTTCGTGGTGGTGATGGTGGTATGCGTTGAGTTGGTCCCAACTCATAGTGGCCCTGCCTAGCGTCTGCAAGGCTGTAAATCTCTACGGGAGCAGAATGCCTCACCTTTCTCCATCGGAATGACTGGTAAATTCAAACTACTGACCATGTGATTAGCAGCCCAGCCATAATCCACTACACACCACAGTTCCTGGATAATTTTGATAGTATGTCAAAATACAGAAGAGCATGTGGAACTAGGGACATCAATGCTGACATCAGATGACCTTGCTCAAAAGCAGAGAATACCAGAAAGATGCTTACTTGTGCTTCACTGACTATGCGAAGGCATTCCGCTGTGTGGATCATAAGAAACTATGGATAACATTGATCTAAGTGTTCAAGAGTAAAGATTTCAGTTTGAGGACTACAGTGCAATTGATCCCTACCACGGTATTTTCAATCGTCTCATATATGTATGAAAGTTAGGCAATGTATAAGGAAGACCAAAGATGAATCAATGCTTTTGAATTATGGTGTTGGTGAAGAATACTGAAAAGTACCACAAACTGTCAGAAGAACAAACAAATTTGTCTTGGAAGAAGTACAGGTCAGGATGGCAACATTTTGCCTCTCGTCCTTTAGACAAGCTTTCAGGAGGGACCAGTCCCTGGAGAAGGGCATCGTGCTTGTTAAAGTGGAGGGTCAACAAAAAAAAAAATAGGAAGCCCCTCAACAAGCTTGACTGACACAGTGGCAGCAACAATGGGCTCAAACATAACCGCTATTGTGAGGGTGACACAGGAGCTGTTGTGAACAGGGTCACTACGAGTCAGAATTGACTCAACAGTACCCTAACAACAACAACAATCCTTAATATAGGCATGCTGGTGATGCTACAGAATAAACACTAGACTGTTAACCACAAGGTCAGCAGTTCAAAACCACCAGATACTGCACAGGAGAAAGATGAGGTTTCTGCTCCTGGGAAGATTTACAGCCTCGGAAATGAATAAAATTGGTTCTGAGTCGGAACCAACTCAATGGCACCTAACAACAGCAACAACAAACCTCAATATGGATATGAATGGGACTTTTACCTCTGGGGCTGTCCTCTTAAAAACATAGTGTTGTTGTTGTTAAGTGCCATCGAATCGGTTCCAACCCATAGCGACCCTGTATACGGTTTCTGAGGAGCTGCTGGTGAGCTTGAAGTGCCAACCTTGCAGTTCAAACGGCTTTGCAGTCTGGGGCATTAACCCACAGTGCCACACCAGGACTCCATATTACCCATCTAACCACGAGAACCACCACTAGTCTAAAAGTGTGCAAAAGACCTCCTTAAAGAGCTCAAAGGTGTCAGTTTGAGGACTAAGGTGCACCTGATGTAAACCAGGGTATTTTCAATCACCTCACATGCATGTGAAAGTTGGGCAATGAATAGAGGAGACCAAAGAAGAAATTGATGCATTTGAATTATGATACTGGTGAAGAATACTGGAAGTACATTGGATTGACAGAAGAACAAACAAATCTGTCTTGAAAGAAGTAGAGCGAGTATGCTCCTTAGAAGCGAAGATGGCAAGCTTTTGTCTCTCATACTTCAGACATATTTTCAGGAGGGACCAGTCCCTGGAAAAGGACATCAGGCTAGGTAAAGTAAAACAACAGCTAAAAAGTGAAAGACCCCTAAAACGAGATGGATTGCCACAGTGACGGCAACAATGGGCTCAAAAAAAAAACCAGGCAGTACTTTGTTCTGTTGCACACAATAGGGTCATTATGAGTCAGAGCAGAGTTGACAGCATCGAACAACAATCATGAGAAAATACATCACACAAATCCCAATTAGCAGCTTCCACAATGTCCCTCAACACTGACCAGTACTCAACAGAAAGGTATGAGAAACTGTCACACTCAAAAAAAGTCTAAGGAGATGTGATGATTAAATGTATGCGGGAGGGAGTAAAAAATTATCCACACTCCAGTTATATTAAAATGCCCATCCACATCCACAGCAGATGACAACACTGTGCACGTGAAAGGATTCTGTCAAACAGACGAGTGACAGTGGATTAAGTGGCAAATCAGCCAGGCTCTGCCAATGAAATAGTCCATGACAGACTTGGCTTTCAAAACTTTGTGAGAGATGGGTACCAAAACAATTTATGGAAGAGCTTGAACAGATGCATTTGGGCATCCGCAAACAAAATTTGGACTGATACTTGAAAGAAGATAAAAAGCAGCCATCAGCTGGAAAATTGATGCTTACAGTTTCCTGGGATTCTCAAGGGCCAGTATTGGAACACTACCAGGAACAAGGTTCAATAATCAACAGTGCTCATTAAAGTGAGATGCTTACAGAAGAGCTGAAGCCTAAACTTGGATGAAATGCAAAGGACTGCTATCCAAGGGTGTTGTGATCTTGCATGACAAGATCTCTGCCCACACTGTTGACACTCTGCAAAAACTTCATTTTGTGCTGTTAAAACATCCTCTCTATGATCCTGATCTTGTTCTATCAGACTTTCACCTGTTTGGTCTCCAGAAAGCAGCCCTTCAAGGACAAAGACTGATCTCTGATGTAAGAAGTGAAGACAGCAATGCATTCGTGGCTCACAGCTCAGTCTAAAACATTTTTAAATACAGAACTATGAAAGCTTGTTGACAGATGGACAAAGTGTATTGAAAAGTCAGGAGATTATGTTGAATTATGATTTATTTGTCTTTTCTAAAAGTTGACTAAAAGTAATTCTACAACCAGGGTATGGATAATTTTTGACTCACCCTTGCAACATGTCACCCTTAATGGGCTTCTGGAACACAAAATTGACATTAGGGAAAAATCAACATATTGCATGTTAAAAATAATGTGTCAGTCTCAGTTCATTAACTGTGACAAATGCAGCATGTCATAATGGAAGATGTCATATAAGTGGCTAAAATAACATGTTAGTAAGAGAAATCAGGTTCAGGGTATGTGAAAACTCTTTGTACTGTCCTTGCAATAAATCCACAAATCGAAAACTGTTCTAAAATTAAAAGTTCATTTTAAAAAATAAAAAGTCACTAGCTGTCAATTTTGTCAAATTTAAATTCTGTTGTTAGGAATGATTCCAAATGCTCAAAAATGCTTGTTCCCTCTTCAGGTATGTTTTAAAATAATTAAAATACAGGAAAGCAAAACCTCAGGTGTGGAGAGCAGAAGGGAAAAGGGAAAGGGACTGGAGATTCCCCAAGGAGGAAGAGTCTTCTTGGGTCAGTCCCATCACTTCTATCATATGTACAACTTGGCTGCCTCAGCCTTTAAAAAAAAATAATACAGCAAGAAAACTCTATGTAGTTTTTACAGCCTCTTTTATCCCTGGAATGAAAGACAGATGGAAGGGTGCAGTGGTAACAGGAAAGCTGGTAGTCCTAAGTCATTGTTCAATCAAGGGTTTTACTGAAAGATGGAGTCTGTGAAGAATTTTATGGCCCAAATTGCCCTAGAACACGCAGAGCCCAAAGCAACATTGGGGTCTAAATAGTTATCATTATTTAAAAAAAAAAAAAAAAGTTGTCATTTATACTAAAAGGAAAGTAGCCAGAAAAATACTCAGTATGCACATTGGTAAAGTAGTCTTGTCATGACTGCTAAAAAACACTGTTGTTTTCAAGAGCCACGTAGTTGGTTCTGACTTCCAGTGATTTCGGAGGCTTTACATCTTTTGCAGGAGAAGAAAGTCTCAGAGGTCTAAGTAATAAATGTTATGCAAAAGGACTTCAAAACAAGTTCATAGAAAAATCCTATTATCTTCTCATTTCATTTTTCCATGAATTTTTTGAAGCTCCCTTGTTGTTGTAGTTGTTGTTGTTGTGTGCCGTCGAGTCGATTCTGACCCATAACGACCCTGTATAGGGTTTCTGAGGAACCTGAACCACCGACCTTGCAGTTCAAACAGCTTTGCAGTCTGGCACATTAACCCACAGTGTCACACCAGGAGTCCCTAGCATATAATAAATAGGGTTAGGTGGGTTTTTAACAATAAAAATACTGTGGCTAAATGGATTGTGTGCTAGATTCCTGCTCCTTGAGCTACTCATTAAAGAAAGCCCCGCCAGCCATTTTCTAAGGCATCAGTCTGCCTATTTCACCCCAAGAACAGTGTCTGAGAAGGAAAAACACAGATAGCTTCAGTCAACCTTTATACCTTCAAGCTTCAATCTTTCAAAAGTCCATATCCATATCTTAAAATTTCAATTGTCACAACGAAAGTGAATAAACATTGGACTATACGACTGACAGTTCAAGCTCACCAGCTGCTCTTCAGAAATCCTATACAGGGTCACTGAGAGTCGGAACCAACTCAACGGCACTTAGCTACAACAACAGCCCCCCCCTCCAAGAGGCTGTCATATTTTATAATAAATCAGAAACTAAAACCAAAGAGGTAAAGCACACTATACAGTGTCCATAAACATACAGCGTTCTACATACTTTTTATGGGTCAGTCTGGTATAGACTCTAAGGGTTTATCGTAATCTAAGGGTTGAAAGGTGCTGATCCCCAGAAAGACGATGCCAATAAAGTGTGTAACAAGCTGTAATGACTTAACTACCTACGGGAATGAGATGAGTGGGTTGGGATTCTTCCAGTTTGTTCCTCAACCAGTCAAAATCCTGGTATCTTCGACGAACAGAATATTCTGGCAGGTCAAACTCTACCCGAGTACTCTGCAAATAAGAAGAGAATAGAAAATAAATAAGCATAAGAAAATAGTAGCATATCTTAGCTGGAGAGCAGGGGGGAAAATGCTGTTAGAAGAACCACAATGGGCAGGAAAACATACCTTCCTTCCACCTAACAAACCTGCCAAATTCAGAGCTTCCCATCACAGAAGGAGGACTGCTGTCCACACAGCTCAGTTAAAAAAAAAGCCTCAAGGATCTAGAATTAACATGTCCAGGTTCTGTTTTGTGTTTTGTTTTGTTTTCCTTATCCTTAGGAAATGGAATTCAATGATCTTTCCACATTGTGATTAGAAACATTGGTTTTATTTCCTTCAAGTTTAACTTTGGGAAGTTCTTTTTTCAGAGTTAAGTCCACTGGATCAGACAGTGTGAGTAAAACAGAAATTAAGTTCCTTCATGCTGCTAAATAAGCTGTGATACACTCTGCCAGAGGTAGAGGGAAAACAAACAGAAAGTAGAAAGACCAGATCACTGTTCATTAGGAGGCCAAATTATGAAAATAAGTTTTTGCCCAATCTGTCATATTCTGCCAGAACTATAACCTTAAGACAACATTGTGTTTCAGTTGCTTAGGGGAAAAAAATGAAAAGAATACCAAAATGCCACATTATATGACAGGAAAAGATGAATAATCCCATCTCTTTCCTGAAATTGTTTAAGTTTTCTGAAGCGTGGTTGTAGCATTTTAATAAAGAAAAACAAAATTAAATAAAACTAAATTGATTTTATATAAAAATAAGAGTTTTACACATTAATTTTCCCAAACTAAAATTCAGTCTCAGAATCCTGGTGTGGTGCTGGGGCGGAAAAGCACTGGACCACAAAGTTGGTTTGAAACACAAGGTTGGTAGTTTAAATTCACCAGCTGCTTCTTGGAAACCATGTACAGGGTTGCTAGGCGTCAAAACTGACTTGATGGCACTTAACAACAAAATTCAGTCTCAGCTAACTTTTTTTTCCTATGAGGGTACGAACTGTGTGAAAGTCACTGTTCACGAAAATTATAAAGTATAAACATGTCCTGAACTAAATATTACAAATTTATTATTTTCAATTCAAAATTAATTTTAATGCATAATGCCTCGCAAAATCTTAAAGGCACATAAGAGTCGTCCATTAATGAAAAAGTTGTGAACAGCTTTGGCAACAAAAATCACTATTTCATCCTCTCCAAGATGTGTTCACAGTTGAAGCAAAATTGAGTTTACAGTTAAGTACTCAGTGTTACATACACTGACCCCCAGCTATGCCAACCTTCCCCTATGATGGAGGCATGGCGGGGTGGATTCTATCAACTTTGGGACATACACTCAATTGGGGAGAAGAAAAATCCAAAGAACAATTCACTGCTTGACTAGTTTTCAGGCATAGGGAGATAAGAGTAGTAGGGGCGGAGATAGGCCTGGCATAGTGAGAAGAACTCTTGTGCCTGTAACAGTCCCAGCCTGGATATCAATCACTGCACCACCACAGGGCTGCTCTGAACTTTAGTTACCTCATCCTAAAAAAGAGTTGGACGAGACATTCCTCAGGGACCCTGAAACCCTAACAATCCCCTTCTGCTGGTGATCATTGGCTCAGGAAGAATATATTTTGATAGGTGATTAATGAAAGCAACTCATTTTCATTATATATAGAACTGGTAGGGAATCTACTTTTTAGCTGCCTACATGTCACATGGAGTCCTGGTGTGGTGATGTTGAAAAAAGTACTAGACTGCAAGGTGGGTCTGAACTGCAAGGTTGGCGGTTCAAACCTACCAGCTGCTCCTCAGAAACCCTATACAGGGTTGTTATGAGTTAGAACTGATTCAACGGCACTTAACAACAACAAATGTCACATGATCATAAATTGATAATTTCTCTTTATTAAACTTTTTCAAATCCATTTCATAAGTTATAAATTTTGGAACATTTCCACTCTAACTTTGATCTCAGTATTTGTTGACTACAAAAAGCAGTACAATGAAACACCAGTTGTGGTTTTGCCCTAACCAATTTTACTTTTGGAGAACTGTTTGATGTTGTTTTCTTTCTTCCCCATATCTCTTTAATACATCCTAGATATCTTTCTATGTCAATAAATCCAGATCTATATACCACTTTTAATACATATACAGTATTCCATCGAATGGGCAAACCATTTCCTGAAGTTATTTCTAATTATTTAATAAACAATGCTACAGTAAATGTCACTGTACATATATCTTTTTCTACTTGTGTGATTTGTTGTTAAGCGCCACTGAGTCTGTTCTGACTCATAGCAACCCTATCTGTATATAGTGTTAATCTCTGCAGAAACAGAACGAACGTCTCCTCTTTATCCTGAGGCGTGGCTCGTGAACTTTAATCGCAGACCTTGTGTCACAGTCCAGTGCTTATTCTAGAGAGCCACTGCACTTCCACACTTACCTGATAATTCCCTTAAATTCCTAAAGACAGAACTGCTACATGAAAGAGCATACATAATTTTTAATGTCACAAATACATCAATATAGTTTTGATGGAAAACAGCAGAATATAAAATAAATTATACATACAGTGTGATTCCATTTATCATAAATATGTGGATATAAAAGACAAGAAGCAAATTTCAGAAGTGGTATCCTCTCTATACTCATTCTAATTTCTAAATTTTCTATACGCCTGCAATACCTAATAGTCACACATACCCTCTCATTTTCAAAAAAGCTCCTTTGAGAACCTAGTGGATTTAATACAGTAGTAAAAGTTTCTGATGTTTTGGAAAGCAATTAAGGTAAATCATCATGAAACAGAAGGATACTCACATTCTCTATTTATTTTACTCATTTTTACCACAATTTGTTCTAAAAAGATGTGTTATTGTTATTAGATGCTACTGAGATGGTTTCAACTCATAGTGACCCTATGCACAATAGGATGACATCTGCCCAGTCCTGCACCATCCTCACAATTGCTGGTATGTTGAAGCCCCCTGTTGTTGTCACTGTGGCAATCCATATTGTTGGTAGTCTTCCTCTTTTTTTGCTGAACCCCCACTTTTCAAAGCATCATATCCTTCTCCAGGGATTGATCCCTCCTGATAATATATTCAAAGCACAGGAGATGAAGTCTAGCCATGTTCGCTTCAAAGGAGCATTCTGGCTGTACTTCTTCCAAGACAGACTTGTTTGCTGTTCTGGCGGTCTATGGTACTTTCACTATTCTTTGCCAACTCCATAATTCAAATGCATTGATTCTTCTATGGTTATCCTTATTCAACTTTCATAAACATATGTTGTTGTTAGACTATCAAACATTGTGAGAATTGCACAAACAAAATAAGACAAAATAAATGACTTTGTTGTTGTTATTGTTGTTAGGTGCCATCGAGTTGGTACCGACTCATAGCGACCCAATGCACAATAGAACGAAGCACTGCCTGATCCTGGGCTAACCTCACAATTGTTGCCACGCTTGAGTCCATCGATGCTGCCACCTGGCCAATCCATCTCGTTGGGGGTCTTCGTCTTTCTCTCTGACCCTCCACCTTACCAAACATGATATCCCCTCTCCAGTGACTGGTCCCTCCTGACAATATGTCCAAAGTGTGAGAGATGAACTCTGGCCATCCTGGCTTCAAGGAGCACTCTAGCTGCACTTCTTCCAACACAGATCTGTTTGTTCTTTTGGCAGTCCATTGAACTTTCAATATTCTCCTCCAACCCCATAACTCAAATGCATCAATACTTCTACAATCTTCCTTATTCACTGTCCAACGTTTGCATGCATATGAAGTTATTAAAAATACCATGGCTTGGGTCAGGCGCAACTTAGTCCTCAAGCTGACATCGTGGCTTTTCAACTGTGTTTTTCTTCCATCTTTTTTTGATGTTCCCAGAGTGCTTCAATATACAGAATCCTTCAGTATTGCAATCCAAGGCTTGAATTTTTTTCTTCAGATTTTTTTCAGCTTGAAAAATGCTGAACATGTTCTTCCCTTTTGGTTTTTCTAGCACCAGGTCTTTGCATATTTCATTATAATATTTTACTTTGTCTTCTCATGCTGCCCTTAGAAATTTTCTGTCCAGTTCTTTTATATCATTTTTTCCAGTCACTTTGACTTCTCTATGTTCAAGAGCAAGTTTCAGAGCCTCTTCTGACATCCATTTTATTCTTTTTTGTCCCTATCTTTAATGACCTTTTGCTTTCTTCATGTATGATACTCTTGATATCATCCCACAATTCCTCTGGTCTTCAGTCATTAGTGTCTAATGCATTAAGTCTGCCTGAGACGGTCTCTAAATTCAGGTGAATACACTCAAGGTCATATTTGGGCTCTTGTGGAGTTGTTTTAATTTTCTCCAGCTTCAGCCTGAACTTGCATATGAGCAATTGATGTTCGGTTCCACAGTCAACCTCTGAGAGGTAGGAGGCTCAAGCCTACCAATTGATCCTTAAAAACCCTATACAGGGATGCTATAAGTTGGAACTGACTCAACAGAAACAACAACAACAAAAGCTCATCTATACAACAGAATACGACTGCAGTCACACAAATGATGGTATAAAACTGCTTACCGGTTTAGAAAGGTATTTGCAATAGTAAATAAACTGGAAGAATGCAAAATATCTCTTGTTTTGTAAATGGATATAAAAATGTAGTTTTCAATAATTAATTCCAGCTGATAGGTTTATAGTTGTCCTTTTGCTTTACTCTTTCAGTTTGTGTTTTCTTTTTTCAATTAATAAGCATGTATTCCCTGCATAAATTTTTTAAAAAGGTTTCTATTGAAAAAAGTACAGCAATGATAAGCGCTCAATAGTTATTAGCTATTATAAATAATGCTACTTTCTAGGAGTAAGGTGATAAACTAGGCAGGAGCTGCCTGCCCTGAGAAGACCCAGGCTGGCTCTCCACCACTGAAGAGATCCCATACAGATTTGGAGGGAGCATGCTTTGCCTACATTGGCTCTGCTCATTTTACCTCAGGGAAAGGAGTCCTGTACTTTGTCTGGCTTTGGTCATCAGGAGCCTGCATTAGGACTGGGGAGTCAAAGTCTCAAAGAAATAAAGCCAGCATTTTTATAACCTTGTCTCCTGAGCAGTACCTTTTCTTGAAGACTTCAGCACAAGTGGAAGTCTCAGGACTAGACCAGGTATATTCAGAATCCTGTGTTCCTGTTTGTCCTTTCTCTCTCCCTCTCACTCCTTCCCCCAACACCTTTACACAGTCTTTAACACCACTTGTAGATATTGTTGCTGTTAAGTGCCATAGAGTAGGTTCCAACTCACAGTGACCCTGCAGAGGGTTTCCAAGAAGCAGCTGGTAGTTGTGAGCCACCAGCCTTGAGAGTAACAGTCCAGTGCTTATCCTACAGCATCACACCAGTACTTGTAGACAGAAGGCTCCAAACGTGTTTCATAAAGACTTTAAACCTGGTGTCCGTATTAGAAACAGGCAAACAGGTAGACTCTATGCTTGGGATCAGAAATGGAAAAGAAAGCAAAAAGTAAAACTCTGTTTTGTAACAGACAAATCTTGAGGTGTTGGCATCATCATTAAGTATGTGGGACTGGAACTTAGACAAGGCTACCTTAAGTCATTTTCTGGTATACAGAAAAGAAAACTCTCGGGAGAAGGAATGGACATAAGAATGTAGAGGGAAAAGGTTAACGAAAGAAAGAGAAGAGTCACAGGACAGCGTGGACAGTTACAGCAGGTTCATTAGTGTCTGAATCAGGTTATCAGAGGCCCTGCAGCCTTCACATTTTGGGGAGGAACACTGCAGGTCAGAGGAACCAAGTAGTTGTTGTAAGTGCCATCGAGTTAGTTCTGACTTATAGAGACCCTGTAAAGCGCTTCTGAGAAGCAACTGGTGAATTTGAACTGCCGACCTTGCAGTTCAAACCGACCTTGTGGCTGAGTGCTTGCTTATCCTACAGGACCACACCAGGACTCCAAGTAGCGGTGGAATAAGGTCAAGGTAGCGAGCACTGCGGGGCTAGCAGGGCAGTCACCTTGCTGTTCAGCTGCTTACAGCTCAAATTCAAGTAAACCAGGTTTTACATTTCACTGACTACAGGGTGAAAAATAAGTCAGCCCTAGGTGAAAAAATGGAATCTTGGTGTGGCGCTATAGGATAAGCACTGGACTGCTAACCACAAGGCTGGCAGTGTCAATCCACCAGCCACTACTTAGAAGTCCTATACAGGGTCTCTATGAGTTGGAACCGGCTCGATGGCACTTAGCAACAAAGTAATAATCATTGGATTATCAATTATGGAAATTTTTGTGTCAACCTATGACCTCTGAGACAACAGCATACATCTAAATGCCTAGCTTAATGCCCAGAGAATAGTAGGCCTTTGTGCTGGACTATTAAACTAAAGGTTGGCAGTTCAAACCAGCTCAGTAGTGCTGCTAAAGAAAAACCTAGCAATCTGCTTCAGTAAAGACGACAGCCAAGGAAGCCCTGTAGAACAGCTCTATTGTGCAACACAGAGGGTTGCCTGAGTCAGAATGGACTGGACGACCACTGGATGCTTTTGTTTGTTGAATGGCAGTGGTAATGGGAGAAGATACACGAGCACTTAAGTGCACACACAGAGGCATACAGAGACAAATTTTTAACTGTGAACTAGCTAGAGAAAGGGCAAGGCAGCAATATGAAAACATTTTTTTAAACCTGGAAAACGTTTAAATGTTTAAAAAAAGAGAGAAAAGTTACTGTATAAATCATAGCATAAATATTTATACTGGCTTCAACAATTACACAGAAGATTGAACCATACAGTCAAACAGATGTGGGAAGGTCTTCTAGAATACTCTGAAAGAGAGGGGGAAGAAATCAACATTACAGTGAAACATGAATGATGAATACTTTAACTAGGAGCCCTGGTGTGACAATGTAGGCTAATGCGTCAAACTGCAAAGTTGTGTGAACTGTAAAGTCAGTGGTTCAAGCTCGCCAGCTGCTCCTTGGAAACCCTATACAGGGTTGCTATGGGTCGGAATAGACTCGATGGCACTGAACAACAACAGAGGTATTTTTGGTTGTCACAACTAAGGGAAGGAAGCTTTTTGGCATTTAATGGATATAAGCAGGGATACTGCTAAACATCCTACAACAAGCTAGCCCTCAACAAATAGAATTATTGAGTCAAAAATGTCAAAAATTTGCCAACGTCTCGATTTAAAAGCTTAGTACTATTTTTAAATACTCAAAATTCATTCTCAAAAGAAAACAACAAGGATTACTAGAAATTGCAAAAGTATGGGTTATAAAATATCAGTTTTATAATCCTACAATTCAAGTTAGACTCCTGATGCCTAAGTTTGTCACTTTTAACAAGTTAATATAAACTTTCTGCTTTGGTTTCCTCATGTGTAAAATTGTGACTAAAAGATACACAGTAATCTTAGGATTACTGTGAAAATTAATCAGTGAAATCTCAGCACCCTTCCCACAACCTGCCAGGTACATAGCAGAAAAATCACTGTCAGTTCATACAAAAATGGAATGAAAAGATAATGAAATTTTTCCATGAACTTTTTTGAAGCTCCCTCTTAATTCTTTCACCACCACTACCATCAACCCAATTAGGTCAAATTGTAATCATGGTCTGTTAAAAGAGTTTTAGGTTGATGACTCACAAATTTCAAGAATAATGTGATATGATATGCAATATATTAAATAGAAAATCATGACAGAAAATAAATGAAAGTATAAGGATTAGGTGGTTTATTTGAAATATTTCAGTCACATCTCCCTCATTTTAAGATAAGTTACTATAATTAATTTTATAACATTCATTTGATTACAAAAGCCACATCCACAATCTCCAATTAGCTTTAAAATCAAAATAAAGATGAACAGAGTTATTAAAAGGGACAGTATCAAAGCAAAGATAGAAATGATGAAAGTAGGACTCTAATTCTTCAAGACCACTCATCATTGGCAGAGGACAATGAAAGGACCTACTTTAGTGGTAATCCTATACGTGATGTAGGTTTCCATTGTACACACATGCTTCTTGGGATCATCAACCGTGACAAAGAGATCTCTGGTCTCACCATCAATGTCATCATCAAGTTGAAGTCTGTTGAGAAGGGAAGATGAAGAAGCTGGACTTGAAGTACCTGCTGGAGTACCACCATTGGGCAAAATGAGATCCTAAAAGAAGAAAAAAATTTATATCAAAAGTTAAATGAAAACACACACCTAGAGAATATCAGCAAATGTAGCTGGTTTATGAACACATAAATGAACCAAGAAGCATTCTGGAATTTAAGAGTCTCCCCTTATTCTATATTTCTTAAGCGAATATGATTTTTATGATCAATAGAACTATCCCAGTGTAGTAGAACTCAGGACCTTCGCCTGGGTCTTGAGAACATCTTAGGTCCAGGTAAACAATAAGGTAATAAACAAGTCAACCACCACAAAGAAACAAACATTGTGTGCCTCCTGACAGAAATGTATCCCAGGGCTTTCAATGGGTTCATTTCAGTTTGTCCCTCTGCTGAGAATTTGCAGATATAATGAATCAGAATCTACAGTTTAACAAGATCCCCAGGTGACTCTTATATACTGTATATGTACTCAGTGAGCAGAGGCCTCATCCCCTCCACTTCTTCTCAGCAAGGTTTCTGACTACAGGGCAGATCCAGGAGCTCATGAGTTGGGAAGTCAGATCCCCGAAGCTCTTCTCAGTGTGAAAGTGACCACAAAACCTGTTACAGCAGCATCTGGCAATCTGAGTGCTTTCAGAACACATAGCTAGCAAGGCATGCAGTGTCAAGTCTGGGGCTCTGAGAAGGGACAATCATCTCCTCTGCAACTCCCAGATAATCATCATGTCGCCACCACTTGGTAAATATTTAAACACTGACCTCAGGCAAGACACCATGCTAGACACTGCAGGGACTCACCCTAGCTCTTTATCAACAATAGCTCCCTAGGTCTCAGAACAGCTGTATCAGTGACTAAATACTGCACAGAAGAATTCAGAATCTTAAAACAAGATTATTAAAAAACAATAATCCACTGCCATCAAGTTGACTCCGACTCAAAGAGATCCTAAAGGATTTCCGAGGCTGTAAATCTTTATGGGAGCAGAAAGCCTCATCTTTCTCGCAAGAAGCATCTTATGGGTTTGAAACGATAATCTTGCAGTTGGTGAGTTTGAACTGTCAATCCTGCAGTTAGCACTCTGGTGTTTATACTACAGTCATAAACCACTTTCCACAATTTCTCATGGACTGACCTTGTTGTTGTTGCTAAATGTCATTGAGTCCAATTCATAGCAACCCTCTAAAGGTTTCCAAGGAGCAGCAGGTGGATTTGAACCGCCAACCTTGCAGTTAGCAGTCCAGTGCTTAATCCTACAGCACCACACCAGGACTCCGGACTGATCTTAGCAGCCTTGTTTCTCATCATTCTCCACGTACACCCTTGGCACCAGTTTCCACACTGCACCACACTGTTTTATGTCACTCATGTGTTTGCTTGGAAAGACTCTCCTTTTTTTGATGTAGAAGTCTCTAAAAAACTTACAGGATCCTGTTCAGAGCCCCCTCCTCCCAAAAGTCTTCTTTGACCCTTCCTTCCCGGACAGGATTAGTCCTTCCTTTCTCTTTACTTTGAAAACAGTGAGGCAATTACCACAGTTTTAATAATGTAGTTATGTGAGTAACTTATCCATGAACACTGTGAGCCCCTTTTGACTAGAACTGTAACTTGTTCATCTTTTTGCACACATGTTTACATGCCTATCTGCTCCAAGTTCTGGGAATGACACAAAGCCAACTCCTGTAATCTTTGCTCTGGGGAACTCAGCCAATAACCTTTCAGGAATAGATTACACAGAGATCGGAAATGTCTTGGCCATACAGTTTCAAGTTAAATAGTTTTCAAATCAGTTACTGGGGTTGGAGTCTGTCAGTTCACCCCACAAGCTATAAATGCCTGTCATGTTGTAAGCAGTAATGCTACTACCTCAGATTTCCATGGGGTGTCTGTACACAATTCTTCCTCATTCTTATTCCACTGTGCCTCATTAGGCTAGTAGGCCAGATAATTATCTCTATAGATGAGGATGCAAACTCAAAAAGGTTAAATAATGTATCAAACGTATTGCATTAGGCAAATCTGCTGCACACAACCTTTTTAAAGTGTTGAGGAACAAAGATGTCAGCTTGAGGACTAAGGTGCGCCTGACCCAAACCATGGTATTTTCAATAACTTCATATGCATGTGAAAGCTGGACAGTAAATAAGGAAGACTGTAGAAGAATTGACGCATTTGAATTATGGTGTTGGAGGAGAATATTGAAAGTGCCATGGGCTGCCAAAAGAACAAACAGATCCATGTAGGATGAAGTGCAGCCAGAGTGCTCCTTGGAGGCCAAGATGGCCAACCTTCGTCTCTCATACTTCGGACATATTGTCAGGATGGACCAGTCGCTGGAGAATGATATCATGTTTGGTAACATGGAGAGTCAGAGAAAAAGCAGAAGACCCCCAACGAGATGGATCGGCCAGGTGGCAAGATGGATGGACTCAAGCGTGGCAACAATAGTGAGGCTGGCCCAGGATTGGGCAGGGTTTCATTCTGCTGTGCACAGGGTCGCTATGAGTCAGTACTGACTCAATGGCACCTAACAACAACAATGTATCAAAACTAGTAACTGCTGAGCAAGGGCTGCTGGTTCCAAGTTCAGGGTTCATACCAAACTGAATGCCTTTTGTGTATGTGTGTTTTCTCCAGACCAATACTGTCCCCTCATCTCCATTCTCTGGCCACACATCTTTTAAGGTCAGCATGAATATGTGTTTTCAAAGTCAGTGGGGGAAAGCTAACCTTTCTCCTTGAGGTCTTAAAATGCAAGCTACTTCCCATATGACTCCCCTCAAGTCACGTCCACATGAGAAGAAAGCATGAAGGGAGACTATTAAAACCTTAGGGGGATTATGGGTCTGAATGGCTCTGGTTCCTCTGCCCACTACAGCTCTCCAGCAGCAAGGTTTGCTATGCTAACCCTGGCAGCAACTCCTTTATGACTAATCTGAGTTATAGATGCTAGAAGCCAGGTAATTCCTTACCTCGACACAAAAGCCTCGTTTTATTTTTGTTACCCTGTAGTCCTGGGGAGTGTCATGGCTCTGTAAAATAAGTGCTGGACTGCAAATCACAAGGTCATCTGTTTAAGTCCACCAGACACTCCACTGGAAAGATGAGGCTTTCTGTTCCTGCAAAGATTTACAATCTCGGAAACCGTATACAGAGCTGGAAACTGACTCATGGCACTTACCAACCTTGTAGTCAGTTTTATATAGTGCAGCCAGAGTGCTCTTCTGAAAATGTGAATCATAACAAACTCCTCCTATCACATTCAAAGTAAAATCCAAACTCCCTCCAGTACTGCAAGGCCCAACATAATCTGGTGCTTAGAGCTCTCTCTGACCTCACCGCTGGCATTCTCCCCTGATTTATCCTACTCTGGCTACACTGATCTTCTGTCCTTAAACTGGTCAGGCTCATTCTGACCTCAAGACCTTTGGATTTGCAGCTTCTTCTACCTAGAATGGGTAGAGGAGTGGGCTCAGGTGTATCAACAATTGTGAGGTTGGACCAGGACCGGGCAATGTTTCATTCTGTTGTGCAGAGGACGGCTACTGACTCGATGGCACCTATCAACAATACCACTACCTGGAACGGAGTCCTAGTGTGGCACTGCAGGACAATGCACTGGACCAAAAGGGCTGTTTGAACGACAAGGTAGGCAATTCAAACCCATCAGATGCTCCTCAGAAACCCTATATAGGGTCGCTCTGAGTCAGAACCGACTTGACAGTACTTAACAACAACAACAACTACCTGGAATGCTCTTCCCTCCCCAGATTCCTATGTGGCTAGCACTTTTCTTCAAATTGGTTTCTGTTCAAATGACACCTATTCAGAGAGACAGTCTCAGCCCATAAAATCTGAAAAAATCCAGGCCAGGCCTCTTCCATTATACTCAAGCCTCTTCCCTGAATTTACTTTCCTCACAAGACTTACCACTTTCTGAAAACGTATTATATATTGGCTGATGGATTACTGTCTGATTCCCCACTAGACTATAAATTCCACAGAATAGAGATCGTATCTTGTTCACCTCACTATTCCCTGGCATATAGAAGGTACTCAATAAGTACTTGATGAACGAATTAATGCATCCTAGAAATTACCCAAGTCACCCCCTTAACGTTGGAGAGTCTTGCCAGTTGACAGTACTCAACACACCTCTGTTGAACGACTGTGCTTATGTTTATGTCCTCTAAACATAAGCAGCAACTTGTGGACTATGAGTCTCTGGCATCAAGTACATAACTGGCAGTTATGTACTGATACCATCAGCAGCAAACAAACACGGAAAAAAGAAAATAACAATTATACCAGATCTCAGCCCTGATCAGAGACAAGATGAGTTTCGCCAGGGTGTGTCCTACATCACCTTTTATTTTATAAGTGATAAAAAGGAGAGAAAAGCAGCAGAGATAGGAATCTACTCCCACCAAGGAAGGAGAGATTGAAGTAGAGTGCATTCTCTGGAGCTAAGGTCCCCATACTGAGAACCTCTACATCTAAAGAAACATTGATGCCAATACACAAGCAGCTCGCTGAGGATTGCCAGACCCACAGATGTTAAGAGAAGACAAGATCGACCTTGCCACAGAGCTCCCAAAGAGAAAAAGCCTTTTTCTAGAACTGGCACTTCAGACTTCTAGCCTCCTAAACTGTGAGAGAGTAAGTTTCTGTTTACTAAAGTCATCAACCCATCACTCTTCTGTCAGTTTTGTCATACTATGGTGGGTTGTGTGTTGCTATTCTTGATATTATAAATCCCAGCAGGGTCCCCAAGAGTCCTGGTGTGGCACTGTAGGATAAACACTGAACTGTAAGGTCGGTTTGAATAGCAAAGTCAGCAGTTTAAACTCACCAGCCACTCCTCAGAAACCCTTTACAGGGTCACTATGAGTTGGAACCAACTCGATGGCACTTAATAGCAACAGGGACAGGTTTCAGCAGAGCTTCCTGATTAAGACAGATTGGAAGAGGGAGAGGCAGATCATTTCTGAATGGTTAGCCACTGAAAACCTTATGAATAGTAGAGAAACACTGCCAGATAT